CTGCTCTCTGAATTTAGTCTGGGTCACTGCATAAGTACAGGTGTTGGTGCAGGTACTCAAAAGCTGCAGCATATAGCTAGGTTGCTCAGTAATATACATAGGATCATGGGGGACTGTGTAGTAAAGCCTGTCAGTAAGCCAGCGATAAAAGGAAATGCCTACATTTGATATCCATAACAGCATAAAAGTGCCTGATATGATGAAGAGTAAAATGATGGATTTGCTGCGGCTTTCCATTTCTGGGTCAGTGTGATTCTTACTTTTGCTGTGATCCAGTAGCTTCCTGCGGACTCTGCTGGCCACTAAAATGTGTCTGACAGTCAGTGCATTGAGCAGTAAAATCAGAATAAATGGGAGGAAGGGAGTTCATATAATATTGAGGATATCAAAGGTTACCCAAGCAGCTTCACTGAAGAAATTCACTGGCAGGCTGTAGCCCCAAGGTACATTGTCAGTTACATATTCAGGTTCATATACAAAGTACCAAGGAATGTTTTTCAAACAGAAAAGCACACTCGCTGTTATTATAACCACAGCCCCAATTTTTTCTATGCAATATCTTGTTTTCAACTTCTGGCAACAAGTTACAACAAGCTGGTCAAAAGTAAAGGAGACTGTGAACCAGACAGAAATATCTGTGGCTGCATAAAACAGGATAAGCAAAAGCAAATGTGCTGGATTGGTGTCCAGCTAAGTCCCTGGGAAGTAAAATGAAAACACTGTAAATAGTATTACATCGGTGAAAACGACCAGTAGATCTGCCACTGCCATGGCCACAAGGTAGAGAGTGATACATCCGGACAGTCCACATGTTCCATGTGAGAGGATCATAACAGCCACTGAGTTAACTGGAATACATAGAGAAAAAAAAAGCAAGCTTAAAGTTTTGATTCTCAGAGGTTTTAAGAGTAACATCACCACATAAGGGCTGTCAGTCCATTGACCTTGTTCAACCAGATCATTGCTAATCTATGTCTGAACATTGTTTATTTGCATTAGATCCACAACCTTCAAAGCTTTGTCTGAAAACAGATATAGCCTCATTATCACAGAACTGATTCAGAACTAAAGGAGGTCACAGTCTCTTATGTGTATGCCAGCTTTTCAGTGGAACAATTTACCTGGTACCATAGTTCTGCACACTATTCCTTCCCAGATAATAAGGCAATTCTCTCTTAAACACCTCACTGAACTTGTCTCCAGCACACTGTCAGGCAGCACATTCCAGATTACTTTGCTCATTGCCTTAAATATGTGCCCACATATTCTCGATCCTTCTACTGATGGAAATAGTTTGTCCTTTTGCACTCTGTGCAGACCCCTCATGATATCGAACACCTCTGTCAAATCTCCTTCTAAAATTCTCTTCTCTTCTTTTAAAAACAGTCCCTTCTTTTCCAATCTGTCCATGCAACTGAACTTCCTCGTTTCTGGGCCTGTCCTCCTGTATTTATCCTGCACTCGCTATGATGCCTTCACAATCTTCCTAATGTGTAGAGCACGGAACTGGATGTAATAGTCCATCCAAAGCTGGAAGCATTATATTGCCTGTCCATATTTATCCTACCAAATTATATTCCCTCACACTTGTCCGCATTAAAATTCATTTTCCACTTGACTGCCCATTACAGAAATCAGTCCACATTCTTCTGAAGGTTCACATTATTCCCCTCACAGATCATGTTATGTATCAATCAATTGAATAATTTGAAATTGGGCTTTTTACACCAAGGCCTTGATCATTAATATTTAAAAATATTTAAAAAGAAGAAATGTACATGCATAACATATTATAGAAAGAGGCAAAGATCCAACACTGACCCTATGGGGAACTCCAATGCTACCTTTAATCTCATCTGATAAACATCCATTAACCACTACTCATGTTTTCCTATCTCTCAGCCAATGTTGTATTCATGTTGCTACTGTACATGCAGTGATGCCCACATCCTGCAGACAAATAAGAAGGCGAGAAAAAGCCTAGAGTGAATGCTAATCACTGAAATTGGAAGTCACTCAGTGTTTAAAGAAAAATAATTCATTGGTGGCTGGGCTACCATTTATTGCCCATTGCTTATAGTCCTGACAGCAATTAAGAGTTAACCACATTGCTGCGGGCCTGGAATCATACGTAGATCAGACCAGGTAAGGATGTCAGATTTCCTTTCTTAAAGGACATTAATGAACCTGATTAGTATTTATGACAGTTGACAGAGTTTATACAATGGACATTGGCCCAGCTTCTTCTTCCAGATTTTTAAAAAGAAGATTGAATTCAAATTTCACCAACCACCAGGGTGGAATTTGTACTCATGTCCCAGAACATTAGGCCGGGTATTCCAGATTACTTGTCTCGTGACTTTACCATTATGCTACCGCCAGCCTTTAAATGATCAAAGAAGAAGTTTACAGAAGCAAAAAGAACAATTCAAAGTAGCTCAGACAAACCTATGTGTCACAAATTATCGGCTTCTATGAAGTGGTTAAGATGTTTACCAAGAACTCCAGGAAAGTAAGTATCTTCTATCTGATGGAGTATTTTTGGTTCATGCATTTTCTGTGAGACATAACAGTTTTTGCTGGTGCTATAGGCAACACCTTTTCCTGTTTGATACATTGAGAGGAGCCTTGTGTTTATACAGGAGGTAAAACTCCAGTGAGATGTCAGTTACACCATTATTAATATTCATTACATTCAATTGAACAAGCGAGTGCAATCATGGGGAAACTGACATGGTAACGATGGGATGAAATATAAATAACTATTGCCTTCTGCAGCATAAAGCAATATATTCCACAGGAATTATCATTGAATAGAGCCCTGGGTCATGGCCACTCTGAATCTATGAATGATGAATGAGTATTGCCCCTTTTTAGTTTTTGAGCATTTTAATCTATAAATAACCAGTAACAAAGCTTTAATCTTGAACAGAGTAAAGATTAATTTATTGCACCAGCATTACTGGAAGTTCATAGAACCCATAGAATCCCTACAGTGTGGAAACAGGCCATTCAGCCCAGTGGACCCTCCAAAGAGCATTCCACCCAGACCCATCCCCCTACCCTATTCCTGTAACACTGCATTTCCAATGGCTAACCCCCCGCATACTATGGGTAATTTAGCACATTCAATCCACCTAACTTGCATATCTTTGGCTATTGGGGTAAAAATTATAAAGTTAATACAGGCACACAGGTTTAAAAGTAGGAAAGGATAAAAAGTGACTTTTGAAGCTGAAAGGAAGATCAGTCTTTAAAATTGTTACAGGTCTGTTTCTCCTTTGAAGATTCTCTTCCTGAAATGAATGGGGTGAAAACTTGAGGTCAGCTGATTCAGTAGCTGTGTTGGCTTCTGTAGTTGAATCATCAATCGGGCTCACTTAGCAGGTTGACAGAATTTGGGAGAATGAGAGGTTTCCTGTTCCTTACTAGTTCATCGGATAAGACATTTGCAGATTGCCTGGACTTTTCCAGGAAAGTAGCATTTGTCTTCTTCCCTGTCCTCCCTTTGGCTGAGAACCCTCTCCCTAATGGAGTCTTACAGAGTTCCTTTGGAGGAGTTTACTCAAAATGGTTGCTCATAACCTGTCCAAACAAGCTTTACAATGGCTACTATCTAGATATGGCTGAATCATGCTTCCTTGTTTGCTATTGGGTTAACTCACTTTGTATTGGAGTCAAGGTGATTTACATTTTATGAACTGTCTTAGCCTTTGGCCTGGATGGCCTCCATTATCATGTCATGGTGAGCTTTGAGGCATGATTCACACCTTCAAGGGATTCATAATCAAGGCATTTCTGATGATCTCTGGAAATGTTCATTTAATTTCAAAAAGTCTCTTGTGATTACTTCCTGAGGTATGTACAGTCTGCTGCTAATACCAGCTGAAACCCACAAGATTAGTCATGTGACTCCTAGGAGCCATTTTATACGATTGTTGGTGTTAAACATGGATTGGCTTTATTTACAGAATATATGATAATATAATGACACAGATGTGACACTTTATGAGAGAAATATTTCAACCAAAAAATAATCAATGGTCTTGACTTTTTCAAAATAAACTATTTCCTTCCTGTTAAAAATTAATTATCAGACAATTTTAAGCAATTCCTAATGTTTGCCTGGTGTACTTAGATTGGAAGCGTTAAAAAAAATAATATTTTCTGTGCATTACAAACAAATTAAAAGGGTCTGTTGGATTTGTCAATTCCAGATGCAAATACTCACATACTTTCCCTGACGGGATGCTGATTTTCACGTTCATCACACTTCAGCTTAACTGAAAACCCACAGCCTATATTCCAAACTGCAAGAAGATGCTTACATCATTCTCTCCATTCCCATTGATTTGCATTGTCCTTCCCTCTTCCCATCAATCATGTTAGAATGATGTCCCCATGTCTAATTTCTGTTTTTATTTCTGTAATGACTACAACCACCCAGGAATATCATTATCTCTGAATCTGTTATTTTGTACATCCATCCTTCTATCATTTAAATAATATTAACCCTAACCCTCCTGAAAAAAATACTTTTGGATATCCTTCAGAATATCTCTTTTAACTCTGCGATGATTTTGCTCAATTGTTCTTCTGTAAAGAACTTGGGATGTATTTCCACGTCAGATAAATGAACTCTTATGCTGAAGACAAGAGGGCGACAATGGAGAGATAGAGATCAGTGTGAATATTTGGTGTGTAAGGGAGAAAAGAAGTCTGCTTCCTTAAGTACAAGGCCAATAAGGCATGGCTGGGACAGGGGTTGATTGCTGTGATCAAGGTAGAGGCCAGAGGTCATGCTTTGAATTTATTAAAATCAATGTTGAGTCAGAGTGACTGTAAAGTGTCTAAGTGCAAATTGAGGTGCTCTTCACCCAGCTTGCAATGAGACTATGTTATGCATTGAAAAATTGCATTGAGATGTATATGTGAGAGATGTACTGTTAGCAGAGAGAGTGATAAAAAGGACAGCTCTAATTTATTTTGTCCTACTTTAATCATTTCAGTAATTTTCCAATTGACGTGAATGGGTATTTGAATGCATTCTTCAGCTGCTCTCTGAATTTAGTCTGGGTCACTGCATAAATACAGGTGTTGGTGCAGGTACTCAAAAGCTGCAACATGTAGCTGGATTGTTCAGTGATATACACAGGATCATGGGGACCCGTGTAACCAGAAATGTTTGAAATTCGTGCATAAAAGAAAAAGCCCACATAAGTCATCCATAAGAGTATAAAACTGCCTGATATGGTGAAGAGTAAAATTATGGATTTCCTGCGGCTCTCCATCTCTGGGTCAGTGTGATTCTCACTCTTGCTGTGATCCAATAGCTTCCCACGGATTCTACTGGTCACTAAAATGTGTCTGGCAGTCAGAGCATTAAGCAATAAAATCAGAATAAATGGGAGGAAAGGAGTTAAAATAATACTAATACTGTGAAATGCAACCCACATAGTTTCAGTGTAAAAATTCAGCGATAGGGTGCAGCCCCAGGGTACATTGTCAACTACATATTCAGGGTCGTATACAAAGTACCAAGGAATATTTTTCATGCAGAACAGTACACTTACTGTTGTAATGAACAGATCTGCAGTTTTCTTTGTGCAATATTTTGTTTTTATCTTCCGGCAACAAATTACAACAAATCGGTCAATGGTAAAGGTGACAGTGAACCAAACAGAAATGTCTGTAGTTGCAGAAAGCAGGACATGTAAGAGGGAGCGTGCTGGTGTGGTCTCCAGGTAAGTACCTTGGAAGTGAAAAGGAATAACTGTAGACAATATCACATCCGTGAAAATGACTAGGAGATCTGCCACTGCCATGGCCACCAGGTAGTGGGTGATACATTTCGAAAGTCCACATTTTCCTTGCGACAGGATCAGAATAGCCATTGAGTTAACTGGAATAGATCCAGAAAAAACAAATAAAGGAATTAAATATAAACATCTCAGATGATATGTGAGTCATAAACAATTTTTATTTTCCCAATCAGATCTTTTCATAATCACAAACATTCTAATTAGTTGACCTCTTAATTTTTCATATTCGGGTTATTGCAAAGCCAGCCAACAAAAGTTGTGTTTGTAATTTAGCTTTATTTACACCAATGCATCTGTGTTTCACCTTCCACAAGGCCAATCTATGCTTCCTGACATAAACAGGTCAGAAATAAACAGAATCTTCCCAGTATGGTCTGGAACTCTGTGCAGATATCACCTCACTTGCAGCACCAGTGACCCAGCAATCTTGAGTCTGAGGATAACATTACATTAGATTTTTCAATACTTTTAGCTTTCAGCACATGCCAATTTGTGCATTCTGATTTCAAATTTCTCTTTTTATCTAGTGTTTGTAGTCTGACCCCCATAAACCCCGTTTATAACAATTTCAGTCTTCCATTTAATAATTTTTATTGTCCCTCTGAAACTTACTTCTCCATTCTGATTTAATGTAGTTCCAACCTTATACATGCGGCTCTCTATTCCATAATCCAAACTTTTAATAGATACAGGCAAAGATCTGAGACATCCAGATGTGCCATATTAGCAACCCTCATAAAATGTTCAATTCTGTTATTTATCAGAACCTATTTTCAAATCTAGTTGCAGACAGGGATCCCATAGTCCTAAAAAGTAAATAGAGCGGTAGGAAATGACAGCAAGTGCAATTGTAGCTGAGCTGTTAGGAGAATATGGGACAGCAAGAAATGTGTGGTCATTTTAAAAGAAAGTACTTGTGTTTACGTTGCAACATTCCTGCTCTTCATAAAGTGCATTATGGCCAACTGAGTTCAAATTTTACCTTTCTATTCTAGCACCATGTTCGGTGGTATATTTTGGCAGTGTAACCTCTCAGTAGAGTCGTAGAGTCATACAGCATGGAAACAGACTTTTCGGTCCAACCAGTCCATGGCGACCGTAATCCCAAATGAAACTAGTCCCACTTGCCAGCACCTGGCCCATATCCCTCCAAACCTTTCCTATTTATTAAGTTATCCAAGTGTCTTTTAAACATTGTAACTGTACTCGCATCCACCACTTTCTCAGGAAATTCATTCCACATGCAAACTTCAGTTTTTCAAAGAATCCCCTCTTCTCACAGTTTGCGGAGTGGTAATAACTAGTAAACAGATTATCATTCTCCTCTAAAATAACTGATTTATATCTCATTTCTATTGTACAGTGCTTTTTAAAGACTGTTTCAAAACTTCTGGCTGACCCTGGCAGGCATTCCGTAGTCTGATAAATTCTATGTTCTCGTGAAGGTCCAGTTCCAAGGCAACTGGATTACATTAGTATATCACCTGCTGTGTTGAAATGTTTTCACAATTTTCATTTTGGAAAAGAAGCAGCTAATTAGTGCATGGAAAGCTTGCACACATAACAATACGATAATGAGAATGAATGCTTCACAATATCAAGGCAACTGAATAGTTTACAATTGTGTCAGGATTTTCTGACTCAGAGACCGTGAATTTTTTGTGTGTCTTTTCTAATTATAAAATAAGAAAAGAACTGTTCCAAAACCAAAGATTGCAAAGACTGCTGCATGGTTTGAAAGGAAGTAACTTGATCCTCATTGTGAACATGTTTGCACAGCTGTGGGTTAAGGCAATGGTTGCAGATGCACTGAAATTGAAGAATTGCATACAAATGAGCTTTTGTTGCAACAAAGTGCAAATTGCTTTCTGGACTTGTGACCAATTAACATGGTAAAGCTTTTTTGCTTGCCAACAATGATGTGGTTAGTTCTCAGATAGCTGAACACCCTACAGCTCTGGATAAGACACAGATAAACCTTTAGACCACCACCAGTTTAGGAACTGTCATTCTCCATTCTCTGCAGTAAACCACTTTGAGCCTGATGAATACCACTTCTTCTTTCATTTAGCAGTTGCTAATAATCAATATGTTATATTTATAATCAATGTGTCATAGACCTTTTATCAAAGAACCAACCACCCAGTACCTCTTGCAAATGAGCAGAAGCATCTGGAAAAAGGATGACCAAAAGCAGATGGTAATCAGCAAAAGACCTACAAGACCATAAGACCATAAGGCATAGGAGCAGAAATTAGGCCATTCGGCCCATCGAGTCTGCTCCGCCATTCCATCATGGCTGATAAGTTCCTCAAACCCATTCTTCTGCTTTCTCCCTGTAACCTTTGATCCCCTTGATAAGCAAGAACCTATCTATCTTAGTCTTAAAAGTACTCAATGACCTGGCCTCCACAGCCTTTTGTGTCAGTGAATTCCACAGATTCACCACTCTCTGGCTGAAGAAGTTTCTCCTTATTTCCATTCTAAAAGGTGTTCCCTTTACTCTAAGGCTGTGCCCTCGGGTCCTAGACTATCCTACCAATGGAGGCATCTTCCCAACATCCACTTTGTCCAGGTCATTCGGTATTTTGAAAGTTTCAATTAGATCACCCGTCATCCTTCCAACCTCCAATAAGTATAGTCCCAGAGTCCTCAAACGTTCCTCATATGTTAAGCTTTCCACTCCTGGGACCATTCTCGTGAACCTCCCCTGAACGCGCTCCAGGGCCGGTACATCCTTCCTGAGATATGGGCCCAAAACTGCACACAATACTCCAAATGTGGCCTGACCAGAGCCTTATAAAGCCTCAGTAGTACTTCCGTGCTTTTATATTCAAGTCCTCTTAAAATAAATGCCAACATTGCATTTGCCTTCCTGACTACTGACTCAACCTGCAAGTTTACCTTGAGAGAATTCTGGACTAGAACTCCCAAGTCTCTTTGCACTTCAGACTTCTGAATTTTCTCCCCATTTGGAAAATAGTCCATGCTTTTATTCTTCTTACCAAAGTGCATGACCTCACACTTTCCCACGTTGTACTCCATCTGCCACTTCTTTGCCCACTCTTCTAACCTGTCCAAGCCTTTCTGCGGCCTTGCCACCTCCTCAATACTACCTGTCCCTTCATGTATCTTTGTATCATCTGCAAACTTAGCCAGAATGCCTACAGTTCCTTCATCTAGATCATTAATGTACAAAGTGAAAAGTTGTGATCCCCGTACTGACCCTTGAGGAACACCACTTGTTGCCAGCTGCCATCCTGAGAAAGACCCCTTTATCCCTACTCTCTGCTTTCTACCAGACAGCCAATCTTCTATCCATGCTAGCACCTTGCCTCTAATACCATGGGCCCTTATCTTACTCAGCAGCCTCCTGTGCGGCACCTTATCAAAGGCCTTCTTGAAGTCCAGATAGATAACATCCATTGGCTCTCCTTGGTCTAAGCTGCTCGTTACTTCCTCCTATCATAACAAATCCTGCAGGCAGGAATAATATTTGAACCACTTTCCCAGTTTTCCAAATATCATAGCCCATGGTATGTGTACGTGTGTATGTGCGTGCATGTGTGTGTGTGTATGTGTGTGTAAGGGAGAATTTGTAATAGGTTCAGAGTTTTAAATAGTAGTGCTATATGTGACAGCTTCTAGCCATTTACCTATAGCTAGAGTCTAATACTTGTAATAAGTAGGCATTCCTGTTAAATACAGAAACCTGGTCAGTGCTTTCTGTCAGCCTGGAAGTAAAGACAGGTAAATGGGAGAATTTATCATTCTTTAAGAAGTTTTTTTTGCAGTGGGGCTTTATTTTCAATGCTCTACCCGTGTAAGGCATGATAGTTGTGGAGATATATTTTGAAAAAAAACTATAATTTGTACAATGAGTAAAGAATAGAATGAATCTCAATAAGTAGCAGTGTGAAAGAATCAAGGGAAGAACAGGTGAAATCACAATATTTACTGAAGAACGTGAACTTCAGAATCCATTCAAATCTGCTGTCAAAACTGAACTGAGGCTGTATAGGGGAAGCAGGCAGACCTGGCAATGGATCAATGGTTGGGAGGTGTTGATGTATTTTACATTTGGAGAGGAGATGAGAGCTGAAGAAGCGCAGTCCAGGTGAACCAGGTAATTTTAGGGTCGGGCCAGTCTGCCTGCTCATTGTGTTCTCCTGATAAACTAAAAGGCAATTGAAATTTTGGGAAGAAGACTATTTGCTGCATATATTTCTGGTTATAAATTCACACCAGCATTTAGAATTGAAACTTCCAATCTAAATATTTTTCATGAAATTGTCTGATGTAGATAGTTCCTTTCGTGCCTTGTTAATGAAACAATTTAATCACTCCAAATGCTTTTTGAGAAAACATCTGTCATTTTGCTGATTGCACATTTCAGTTAGAACAAAATAAGATTTGAAACAAAACTTTCTAAGCAAAGCAATCAAAGACAATAGTTCAATTTATGGGTCAAAAGATATTTGCTTCCATGAAATTGTTAAATGTCTTACCGAGAACTCCAACAACTGCAAGAACAGGGTAGTAAACATCTTCCACCTGATGGAGTATTGTTAGTTCACGCATTTTTCTGTGAACTGAGAGGTTTTCCTGCTGATGCCAGATAATAGCTTTGCCTGAATACATGAAGCATTCGGAGGAGCCTCGTACTTATAGAGGGAAAGACGACAGATACCTCATTTTTTGATATCAATCACAGGTCATTGAACAAACAAGTAGAGACAATCATGCGAACTCCCACATGAAACTCATGACATTAGCTATAATTAATTGGAACATACACTGCCTAAAAGCATGATATTCATTAACAAGAGATAACAAGGTGTAGAGCTGGATGAACACAGCAGGCCAAGCAGCATCAGAGGAGCAGGAAGGCTGACGTTTCGGGTCTA